GGTCGGTGGTTCTCTCCAGGCACTCCTGGCTTCCTCTATCAAAGAAAACTGACACGAAATAGCCAATAGTGCTAAAAGTGGCATCAAAGACCAATCAATCAATCAATAAATACCAAAGAAGCGCGTTTTGTTTAATTCAGACTCATTAATGGCATAAAAACAGATAGAACATCAATTTAAGTACGAACTTCCATAAAAATGATAACCAAATATTTCATACAATAATGCCAAATCAAGTTTCGGCCATCTATGTCTTGGGTTCGAATTAATTAAAGACTTTCTAATAATTCAACATTTAGTTAACAGCTAATTTACATAGATTGACCATTTTAATAAATTAACGGTACCAAATTTACTGCACCAGGTGCCCATTTAGACAATAAAAGTATCTTCAATGATGCTCGAGATAAATCAAATTGAAAATTCAATTCCTTAAACAAAGCAAAAAAAAAAAGACTCCAAAGATGTGAAAATTTTATAACGGGAAATTTCAATCGAACAATATCCGTATTTTTATGTAACTACCGAGGTTCTGGCTACTGGGCTTGTGATAGCTTAGCAGACAAACAGTCCACCAACGCAGTGATATGTCATGTCATCACAGGAGTGATGGCTTTTGAACTGATGATACCACCAGGTTCAAAACGTCTACCAACAATGACATCAACCCAGTGGTTGTGAAAACTCGCCAAAGATATCAGGCTTATAATTTGGTACACAGACACACTTTTAAATTACGTCTCCATCAGACTAGTCAGTGGTGCCAAAATGAAAACTGATTAAAAGCCAAATCAATATAGCTGTTGTGGATAAATGAAAACGAAAAATCGAAAAGGTTTTTCCAAATCTAACAAAACACATCTTTACCTTAAGGAAGAAAGGAAGAAAGGAGTTATGACTATAAACAATCATCAAATATTTCTGGCATTTGTGACGTTAGATGACATTTCCGTCTACATAAAACTCACCAGTGGCACTCGAATCAAAACAGTTAAGAGTCCAAATCAAATACCAAGTTAAAAAGCATTGAAAAAAAAACCAAAAGTTATATCAATCTTGCTAGGGCCATCTTAAGTTAGATGTAGAAAGACCTAAGTTTCACCAATAATTTAACAGGAAAGACAGTTGTTGCTACCTAGGAAAGGATTTTTAATATTTTAGTTGAAATCATTCCCTCAAAAGCTTTACGGACTCCAGCTTGATTTAGATAATTGATAGAAATATCTTTGCAACAAGATGACAATAGATAACTTCCGCTTGTCGCTCCATTTTCCTGAAACCAAATATAACTTACCATCGCAATTGTATTGCCACAGGTAAACGCTAAGTGGCAATAGTGGAACAGAATCAGTTTACCATTGGTAACCTGGGTTCACCAACGGTTTTTTGCTTGTATTTGTGTTTGTCTTTCCTGAGTTTTCTGTAGACAGTGTTTTGTGAACTGTTTTTATATTTTTTTCCTTTTTTAAACTTCATGTCAAAGAGTGTTTTGGCTCTGCTTTTATCAGTGACATCTGTCGTGTTACTCATATTAACGTCTGATCATAAATCATAATTAACAAAATAACAAAACCCGTGTAAACCCTCTTGGCTGCATATTACTTTTAACTTGACTGAGAGACATATATAGTCATATTGAAAGTACATTAGCACCAAAGTAAGTTTTACAAAACATTCTTGACGTAAAGAACATGTACTAAAGAACATAAGAATTAATTTCATTATTCTTTGCATTAGACTAATCAAAGTTATTTTTAATTAATGTAGAGCTTTTATTTCAAGGATAATTAGTTCTTATAGTTTGAGTTGTTTGTTATGCATGAGATAATTTAACCATTTCAACAAATAAAAGTATGTAAAGCCAGAGCCAATCTTTATAAAATGAATGAAGAAATAATCAGATAAGATACTTTATTACTACAAACATGTTGATTTTACCTCCTGAATGGTATACCAATTAAGTCAATAAATAATGATTAAGTACCAAAATGACATAAAAAAGGGCACACTGAAATGTGAGAAAGTCATGGACAATACATGATTTTTTAACAGCCTAGAAAAATAGTTCCGCATTTTTTATGAAAGGAATAGGTTTACGAAGGATTAAAATTGTCCCTAAGATTTTGATGTTTTTTCTTAAACGGACCAAAATGCTACCTTTTTCACAAAGATTTGATATAATAGAGATTATCAAAATTTTATATTTTCAATAATCTGGTTTAATTCAATCAAATATTTGTGTGGGTGTGTAGGTGTTGCAGCCTTTAGCTCATTGCCATATTTGGCATGGCCATAGATGGCGCTCACAGGTGTAGGGTAGGCTCTATATTGACTTGCTCAATCGTTCGTTTTATATGATTGTTAAATGGACTGTTGATGTATGTTCTATAAAACCAGGTTAGATCCACCATTTTCTACATAAGAAAATGACTGTATCAAGTCAGGAATATGACAGTTGTTTTCCATTCGTTTGATTGTTTGAGCTTTTGATATTGCCAATTGATGCGGGACTTTCCGTTTTGAATTTTCCTTGGAGTTCGGTATTTATGTTGTTTTACTTTTCACACAGTTTTAGCTGCTGAATCCCAATTATTGTCACATTAACCTATTGTGTTTGTTTGGGTTGCTCACCTAATTTTGTCAATATAACGGAACCATAAATGAATGTCATACAAAGTGGAGGTTAAGCTATAAAACCAGATTTAACCGACCATTTTTTTTAAATTCCTGTATAAAGTCAGGAATACGACAGTTGTTTTCCATTCGTTCCGTTGGTTGATAAAGTCTAACGTTTAATTTTGTCAGTTTTTCCTGTACTTCCTCTTTCTCTTTTTTACTTGTAGTTCGGAAATTTTTAAATACTTTTTTTGGTTTTTTTTGTATTTTTTCATCAGACTGGTATTTGTAATTTCTTGACATATGGTTTTTGACTGTTCCCTTGTTACATGTTACTTTTTGAACTTAGAAATTGTAATTTGGGGTCAATTTAGAACTCATTTTCAGAACAAGTGACTATTTGAATCCTTCCCATTGTTAATTTTCAATACACATGTAGTGTGTAAAAGCATTCCAATAGTACTTGCATGTGGAGTATATGTCTCTCAGCTGATACGATGTTACTGTGTTACTGTTTGCATAAATGGGTCGTATACAACCAACCTCTGGCATCGATGCTATTTTGTATGTACAATAGGCTTTATTATTTCACAAGTAGATCAGTAGTGAAATAGTAATGGTTACTTGTTTAACGTACCTTAACTCCTAATATTTTATTTCTCCTTTGCCTCCTTAATTTTGACTCATGAAGCGTTTTCAAAAATTGAAACTCAGTGAAATCTAATAATCACCTTTCATTTACTACTTTTTGACATTGATTGTCAATGGTGGTCTACGAATTCTTTCAGGGGTATAGTTAAGACAAGCTTACATAGTAAAGTGTTACATTAAAGAGTTCAGAACGGACAACACATGTTTATTGTATAACCTCTCTTAGGTACGCTCGTTACCAAAAGTTTTGAAAGTAAGAAATGTAAAGCGTTTAAGGGCATAAAAAAATGATTCTAAAAAGAACAGACGGACATAAACCATCAACGGTCAACTTCGCTTGAGGATAGTGAAATATAAAAAAAGGAGATGTGGTTTGATTTCCGGTGAGACAGCTATTCACCAGGGTCAAAATGACCTGGATGATATAAACTATATATCACCACTCTACTGATTTAAAAACTACCAAAACCTGCAAAAACTTGTGCCAACTCTGGCTAATGTCACCATGCCCGTAACGCACATTAGACATAGAAAGTCACAGAAAAATAAGGAAAACATAGAAACTTGTAATTCAGATCCTAATTCCACATACATTAATATTTGTCATATATATAAATAAAGAAAAATATATCAACTGTACGTATTGTTTCTTAAGTTGGCAATGACTTTCAAAAAAGAGGCGGAATTAACCAAAATAGTACTAATTTTGAAATGGTGGGTTTAACCTGGTTTTATTGCTAGCTAAACCTCCTACTAGTATACATGATAAAAATCGTGTGAGCTACCAAAGCTAAGACACATTGTTGAACGTGACAATAAATGGGATTCATCAGCCAAAATTGTGTAATCATACATCATAGATGTACAACACAACTGACTTAACAAATCTAAAAAAAAACAAAAAAACACTATAGATATACACAACAACTGACTTTAAAATTCCAAAAAAATAAAAAAATAAATATGACAAAGGCAAGGGATATTAAAAATAAAAAGTCGAAGATATACTGACAACGCCATAAAAAACGTAAAACGACAAAAAGACAAACAGTCTTAACTTGTGAATGTTTGCCATAACGTCGATGTCACTGCTGGAATGGATTATGACTTGGGCCGATTCGAAGCTTAAGATATTGATTCGACACTTGTAAAGGATCAGATGTTTACTTCTGTTTTTCTTTTTTTTTTATGTCGACGGGTTGCTGTTTCATTCGCATATACCAAACATCTCCATTTATAAATATTATCCGCGTGTACAATGTTGTGCGTTTAATGATTGCCGATGTTAAAACTGTAATCTATTTAAAATGATTATATTATGATAAAAGCTTGTGGTTGTTATGTTGAAAGGAAATTAATTTGTCGTTGTTAATAGAATTCGCAAAACCTGTCTTTTTCGGCTGTTGGTCCATTGAAGTGTAAATATACTTTATGTCTTTTTTTTCTGACCATACAATACAATAGTGGGGATGTCATTATTTATTTTGAATGACAAAGTTAGCTCTGCATTCATAATTACATCAGAATTACAAATCGCTACATTTACCGATATTATTCCGTTGCTAAGCAAAACAATTAATTTCATTACATATTAGCAATTTATTGCTAATGAAGTTGTTTTCAAAACATTCCAAAACTATCATCTTCTTAATCTGATCAACTAAACTTAAATAACCATAAAGTGACAAATAAAAAAGATTTTCTTTCACACATTTTGATCACATCACTGTTTGTTAGACATCAGAAATAACGTTATAAGAATTATAGTTACGCTCCATCTGTTCAATACGTAAAGCGTCTATTTGATCCTGATCGTAATTTCCGGAATGATAATCGTCATAATCACTTTTGAGCGTAGTGGAAGATACCTCCTTTGAGTTCGGTGTACCTCCATTTGAATATTGGTACAAATTAACCATTTCGTCGCCCTTGCTTAATTCCATATCATTTTTGTTATAGTGGTTAACATTTTGATGTCTAGGAGAACCATGAAATGATCCTTTGAGCTCCGAGAAAGACGTATTCATCGAACACTGTCGTCGATGTCCAAAGTGTCGTCGTCTCTGTCGGCACTGACACTTTATTATTCTACAATATGCATTTTTAAATTCTTTGCTTGAACAAGCGTATATAATCGGATTTATCATAGAATTACAATACCCAAGCCAGAAAGCCACTTTAAACAAAATCTCCGGAATATAGCAGAATTGACATAAGGCACCTGAAAGAACAATATATGAAAAATCATTAATTAGCTGAAATCAATCAACTTCAATATAAAGTAGATAAATGGGTTTTCAGTGCCATTTTAAAATATCAAAATTGTTTAATGTAGGGCACGTGCGCATGTAATACATCTAAACACTAAGTAATATTTTCTATGCAAAAGCTCAACAGACTTATCAGGCTTATAATTTTATACGCATGACGAGCATTTCTTCTACATCAGACTTATCGGTGACGCTCGATTTAAAAAGATTGTCAGCAACATCAAAAACGAAGTTGTAGAGATTTAAAACCGAAAATTCCTGTTAATGACATAAATGATGTTTCAAATTGTTGAAAAATATCTAAATTTACTCAGAATGATATTTGAAATTGAAATGTCTTTTAAAATGATATAAAAAAATTGACTAATCTACAGAAAGGAAAAAAAATCGATAGGAAAAAAAACCCCAACATTATTCATGATACACAAACGACACGATTTTTTTCTGGTAAACTCTTCATTCATGACATTAGACACTAACCAGGGGGAAAAATGCATGAAAATTGTTGAATAGTACGAAATTACGAAATGGAATTGAATATGACTTGAAAAACAGATTTTATAACGATCAAAGGAAAATAACGACGAAAAGACAAACAACAGGATAGGAAACTACATGGAAAACTAAAGAATGAGCAAATTGATACCAAAGATAAAATCTTGAGAATAACAAATTTGTGCTCCAATTTTGGAACCGGTCTTATTATTCCTGGCAATTAGACATTTGATAAATTGCAATTGGGGATGTTATAAAAAAAGAAAGGAGAAATGTTTGAAGAAACAAAAACAGAAAACGTATATATCTGTGGTCGTCTGTGATACAGAATATCCTGAATGGTCAACAGAGTCAGATGACATCGGTTTAAACGTTTGAGCGTTTCGTCTACAAAGGCTCACCAGTTGCGTTCGAATGAATAATGTTAAAGACGAAGTTGAAGTGCATTGAGGACCCAAAATTCAAAAAGATTTTACCAAATAAATCTAAGATAATCTATTCCGTAATTATTTTTATTGCACAAAATGATGTACAAATATTCTGAATCCTCAAGTACATACAAATGTATCAAATACAGGTATATCATGATTTCATTATTTTTATTTGCATAATCAGTTAACTAAAATAAAATATTCTTCCCACGCATTTCTATTATAATGCTTTTTCTTCCCACGTATTTCGTCAACACAGCTTTATATATTGTTATGCTTAAGAATCAGAAAAAGATAATTCTTCAAACATGACTGCAAAATCTCACTAAGAATGAAAAGATATTAAATTACAAAGCGTGATTATATATCGATCATAATTACAACAACAGCTGAATATCATCTCTAATGGTAAAGTCGATCCACTACGAATTAGCGAATGTTGTAATGACTGTATAGGAATACATTTTCTTAAATGTTCATTTTACTCAAATCTGAGTTCATTCATTAGTTCTTCAAAGTAACCAAATATACTAATCCATAATGTGGCATTACTTCGTTATTTATTTGGCCTTTTTAACTTTTTTTATTCGAGCGTCACTGATGAGTCTTTTGTAAGGGAAACGGGCGTCTGGCGTACACAAGTTTATGCCTTGTATCTATGATGAGTTCGTATGGAATTTAGGCAACAGTAGTTTACCGATGTTCAAATCTCATAAAACTATTTAAAAGACAAATCAAGGATACAAACAAAAACTCGTATGAACTGTAAAAGGAGCGAAACCGAATGCATTGATAAAACTATTAAAACTAAAATAAATTTCACTTTGCAAACATAAAAAATAAGTAAAAGGCTGGTCAATGGAAAGGTTTTCTATGAAATGTATGACAGGGGTTCTCTTCAGACCACTTAACTTCATGATCAAAATTTTTCTATTGACTAACAAATTTTATACATATTCACAATCCTAGTCATGTTACATTTACTCTATTGATAGGAACCGATAAAAAGAAGAGTGTGTTTAGATTTCAGTAATTGTAAACTAGTTTTGATTGCTACTCACTAGTTTCATAGCTTATATATTGGTTCAATTCAATTGCATGATGCTTGACATTGATTTTCAAGGTCATAAATGTAAATGCTGCAGTCATAGATTAAGAACTCGACTATTAAAGCATATCCCATTCAATTTTTTTTAAGTTAATCTATAGTTATGTGAAGTTATCAAAATAATGATATTTGGGCCTAATTCGCTGCAGAAATTACTGTTGAGTCATTTATATCTAAGAACTTTCCTGACCTTAACCTCCAGCAAATCCTTTGGTTTGTATAACAAATTTCTTTAAAAGAATATGAATAACAAAGATTTGGGATAAACGTTGAAGTAAAGTAATTCAACATCACTAGGAATGTTGAAAAAAAAAAGTTTTCAGCAATGGACAAGTCTATACAATATGTCTAAAAGTAAGCAAGTGTTTTTCTTATTAAAGCTTGCTTTTTTTTAAAATTAATAACAAAAAGTGAGTCAGATAGCATTATACGGTAACGTTAATGGCATTAATGAAAAGCAACAGTATTTTACCGAAATAAAACTCAAAGTGATCATTTGATGTTCTTTATTCTTGGGTTGGTTCAAAATAAAATGTCCCTTTTAAATATAGTTGAGTTTATCGTAGGGTAAGATGTACTTTCCTTTTCCAACGGTCGTAAGACGAGGAAAAGAAAATAATTGATATGGATGACAAGTTAATTGAAGGTAGATAATACAAAGACTGCAAACCGTGAGTCGAAGAACGACACCATAAATGTTCAAATTGATGACTTCAACTTTACAAATTTGCAGCTTTTGGTATTCTCCTTAGCGTACTCAAACGCACCATGTTTTTCCTTTTGATTTTAACACAAATACGTAGTTTGTTATCCATTAAACACATTATTTGTCAAATTAAGTATAAAAATTCAATCATATAACGTTACGTAATGTATCTCTTTTCCCTCATCATAGTATAATTATACAATATTTTACACCCACACTTCTCAGTACAGTGGGTAATTTGCTTTATGGATGCTGTCGTCTTAAGAAGGAAGCAGTCTCAGACAAAGTTTCCTGTTAAATACCGAGGTAATGTTCAGAAGTGGAATAGAAATTTATTTCCTAGTTGTCAGAAAAAGGCATTAGTAATATCAATAAAGTTGGCAGCATGGATTCTGTTAGGTCATAATGTATCTAGTGAATCACACTTGATATTTGATAATTCGTGTTTTATTTCACTTAAGTCATTTACTCTTCACGCGTTACTTATACAAACATGGCTTTAAACATTTTGGCTTTGAGCGTTCCTAATAAATTTAAATCGAGGAAAGCGCTTCTAACACATAAAATTTATAATAGAAAGTGTTACTTTCAGTTTTTGTCTCTCACAAACAAAAATTGATTTTGATCCCCGGTGTTTTGAAGTGCTCATGTCATACAATCTTTTTCTGTGTGATGTATTGCAGATGATTACTTGTCTTAAATCTCATTCATGTTGCCATACTGGATTCTATTTGACATGTTATTGTTTAAACGTGACAAGTTTTAAGAAGGTGAATAAGTATTTACTTAAGGATGTTGTCAGGTCAGGTTTAGGAATTGTTGTCAGGTGTTCGAACTCCTTGAATTTTTTCCTGAGATACAGGGTAAATTATTTTGCCCCATATCACCCACTTTTCCTTTCATAGAAGACTTCAATAGCTCATAAAAAGAATTATTTTTTCTTATGATTTGAGAACCAAATAATGCCAATGCTAAATATAAGGCAAAGGTCCGAGTCGTTTTGATCCGTCATTTTTTAAAAATCAAATATCTCAAAAAAGTGTTCCATAACCTATCAATATTTTTTAAACTTATTTTGTTCCTTTACTAATGCTTTTCTGACTTATAGTATCAATTTTAAATTCAAGATTTTTTTAATTTCACCTAACTACATCCTTAACATGTCCTTAGAAACAATAAAATACTTGAAAACCTCAAATATCATATAGTTAAAAATAAGGAAATGTGATATGATTGCCAATGTTCAAATTAAGTGGATGTAAGCAATTACAGGCAACCGTAAGGCCTTCAACATAGAGAAAACTCATACCGTTTAGTCGGCTATTAAAGGCCCGACCTAAAAAATATGAAACAATTCAATTGAGAAAACTAACGGCATAATTTATAACAAAACAATTTACGAAAAACAAATATGACAGACATGAACCAACGAAAACCACCGAACTACATGCTCCTGACTTGGGACAGGTACACAAAGAATGTCGTCGGGTTAAATATGTTTGTAAACGCCCAACCCTCCCCTAACCTGGGACAGTAGGGTTATAGCACAACATAAGAACACAGTATAAAAATCAGTTGAAAAGGGCTTAACTCGATACAAAGCAGAAAAAAAACATCTAAAAAAAACACACACCAGACGTGGCAGGGTATTTAGACATCATTGACAACAAAAAAGACACAGAAACAGATCTGAGCGTACTAGCAGTTACTGACAGCTATTTCAAAGCCAATGAGAACTAATAAAAAATCATGTATCTAAGACTTAAATATCAATCAGTACACATCCAACATCTAAAGAGAATAGTTTAGATTACTGTTCCGCTCCTTAACAGTTGTTCAATTCTTTATTTTTCTTCTATAATAACAATAATTTGAAAACAAAAGTGTTGATTCTTTTTTTAGATAACATTCTAAATGCTAGCTTAGGACTTGCTAACCACAGATTCTATTTAACAATAACTCTCTGGGACTTATGCAAAACTTATGAAAGCGGATTATCAATCTAAAAATCAGTAAGATGTGGTGTTTTATCTTTTGAACCAACCAGATGTAGTAATTTCTTCGTACAAATAGTTATCAAAGGTACCAGGATTATAATTTAAAAAGCCAGACGTGCGTTTCGTCTACATAAGACTCATCAGTGACGCTCAGATCAAAATAATTATAAAGCCAAACAAGTACAAAGTTGAAGAGCATTGACGACCCAAAATT